TTGCCCGTCAGTGGGTCACCGATGAGCCATATCTCATGTCACGGTCGACGGCCAAGAGAGTCAGCGTGACATCGAGCATCATCAAGTACGGGGCCGGTATATCCCCCATCATTGCGCCTAGCTCGGTCTACGCTTCCGCCGTCCGGATGGAGGACGCCCGTGTCGGCACCCCCAACTTCAATGTTACATGGAATCTCGACGTTGATCCCTCATTCTCCTACTTGGTCCGTCTACATTTTTGCGACATTGTGAGTAAGAACCTGAACGATCTTTACTTCAATGTCTACATCAATGGCATGACTGTCGCGTCGCCATTGGACCTCTCCACCCTCACCGATGGCAACCTGGCCGGAGCTTACTTCAAGGATGTTGTTGTTAATGCCTCAATAGCAAACGATAGGATCATGGTTCAAGTTGGTCCTATCAAGGACTCTACAAGAACCATCGACGCAATTCTGAACGGTGTTGAGGTGATGAAGATGAGCAATTCTGTCGGAAGCTTGGACGGAGAGTTTGGCGTCGACGGCAAGAAGGCTGATGGAGGTGGAAGCAGCACGAAGCAAACGGCAATAGCGGCGGTTGGGATCACAATGGGGTTCACTGCGTTGGCGGGAGTTGCAGCAATTACCGTTAAATGGTACAAGAGACCGCATGACTGGAAAAAATCGAAAAGTTTCTCCTCATGGCTCCGGTGGAAGCAGCACGAAGCAAACGGCAATAGCGGCGGTTGGGATCACAATGGGGTTCACTGCGTTGGCGGGAGTTGCCTCATGGCTCCTCCCCATCCACACAGGCCAATCCTTCACAAACAGCAAGGGCTCAGCCTACGGGTCCCACAAGAACGGCTTCACCTTCTCATCGAGTATGGGGCTCGGCCGCTACTTCTCCTTTGCGGAGCTGGAGACGGCGACGAAGAACTGGGACGAGAATGCGGTGATCGGTGTAGGAGGATTTGGAAATGTGTACATAGGCGAGATCGATGATGGCATGAAAGTTGCCGTCAAGAGAGGAAATCCTCAGTCTGAGCAAGGGATCACCGAGTTCCAAACCGAGATCCAGATGCTATCCAAGCTCCGACATCGCCATCTTGTGTCTTTAATTGGGTACTGCGATGAAAACTCGGAGATGATATTGGTCTATGAATATATGGAACATGGTCCCTTTAGAGATCACATATACGGCAAGGATCTCCCATCGCTAACATGGAAGCAGAGACTTGAAATCTGTATCGGTGCAGCTCGAGGACTTCATTACCTACACACCGGCACAGCGCAGGGGATCATCCACCGAGACGTAAAAACCACAAACATTCTCTTGGATGAAAAATTCGTTGCTAAAGTTTCTGATTTCGGACTGTCAAAAGACGCACCAGGCATGAACCAGACTCACGTCAGCACTGCTGTTAAAGGAAGTTTTGGTTACCTCGACCCTGAATACTTCAGGAGGCAACAGTTAACCGATAAATCTGATGTTTACTCTTTTGGGGTCGTTTTGTTGGAAACTTTGTGTGCGAGGCCCGCGTTGGATCCGGCCTTGCCGAGGGAGCAGGTGAATTTGGCAGAGTGGGCGATGCAGTGGAAAAGGAAAGGGTTGATGGAGAAGATTATCGATCCGCGTCTTGCGGGGAGTATTAATGAGGATTCAATGAATAAGTATGTGGAAGCGGCGGAGAAATGCTTGGCGGAGTATGGAGTTGATAGGCCGTCGATGGGGGATGTGCTGTGGAATCTTGAGTATGCGCTGCAGCTGCAGGAGGCGAATCCTCCCATGCCTGCGCCAACTAAGGTGATTTTTTTTTTAATTTTTTCTTTTTGCTGAAACGAAATGAGAACTAGCTACGGAATAGGAATTAATTTACTGGGAATTCTCAGATGAATCTAATTTCAGGTCAAAAAACCTGAAAGTAGTTATTATACAGATGAATTTAATGGGAATTCTCAGAATTCCAATTTCAGGTCAAGAGACCTGAAACTAGTTAAAAAGTTTTCTGAAACTCATGAGGTCCAATTTCAGGCAATAAATATGAAACTACTTAATTTACATTCAGTATTTTCTGAAACAAAGCTGAAAACTAGGTAGAGAATAAGAATGATTTTTTCTGGAAATTCTCATAATTAAGTTTCAGGTCACGATACCTGAAACTAGTTAAAAGAGTTCTCTGAAACTCATGAGGTCCAATTTCAGATTTTATTAAGAATTAGGATTAATAGGTGTTCTATGAAAAACAATCTTGAGCATTTATGACCCATGATTTTTCCAATAGCTGAAGCAGTCAGTGTTCATGATACAGTTTTTTTCGCCTCTTTGTATCTAAACATATTTCGATAAATTTGATATAAAAAAGCCTTTCTATTTGTCATTTTTCTCAGTATCTGAAAGCTAGTTAGAGACAAGGAATGAGTTTTTTGAAACGAGTGAAGTTCAATTTCAGTCTCCACGAAACATAGAGATTAAAAGAGTCTTTTTGTTGACTAATTCTGTGTTTTTATGATCCGTTTGATTGCATAAAGAGCAAACACTCAGTATTCATGAAACAATTTTTTCCCTTTTCTGTTTATATGTAAACATGTTTTGATAAAATTTGCTATCTGAAAGACTTTCTGGTACCCTTTTTCTCAGTATCTGAAAACAAGTTAAATTTATGAAAATAGTATTTGATTTTTCCTAGCTAGTTTCATACACTGTTTTACGACATGTCTACCTCTGGAACGAGTTACTATGTAATTTACTTCAGTGCCATTCAGAGCAAAAACTCAAACACCTACTGATATCAAACTCCATTACAGATGAAGAACGATGACGATGAAGCCGAAACTCCTACATCCAAAGAAAAAGGAGGCGATGCTTCTCCAGTGGCATTATCATCAGCAGCAGGTCCCACATCAACAATACCAGAAAACTCAAGTACTGCAGTAGCCAATGAGCTTTTTGCTCAGCTAGCAGGGATGAAAGGGAGGTAATATATCTGGAGTTCGAAAAAAATCATGGAAAATGTAATTTTTTTCCTTTGTGAATGATGATGATGAGGATGAACAATCCTTGATTAGGTTGTGATTAATTGGCATTGCCGTTTTTTTCCTGCATGTTTCACTGTTTAATGAGTTGATTCTGATGTGTAAAATATACTGGAAAGGCTATTATGTGTTACATGTGTGAGGATTTTACTGTGAGCTGTAAATATACTTGGCCTGCTTGGTTCATGGATTTTGATGAAAACCATGGAAGTGGGTTGAAAGTGGAGTTTCAAGCGTTCACCATTTTCATGTGTATTTTCCTCTCCCATGAGATATGAAGCCAGGGTTTAAACTGAAATGGAAGTGTTTGGATACTGGTTACTGTTAGAATTAGTATTTGGGTTATCGGGTTAGGGCCCATTAACCCATTAGCCTATTACCCATATGTAACCCTATATAAACTAGGGGTGAGCACGGTTCGGTTCGGGTCGGTTTTTACCAAAATTTGAACAACCGAACCGAACCACCTATAATTCAAAACCGAACCGAACCGTTGCAAATCGGTTCGGTACGGTTCGGTTCGGTTTATTCGGTTCTAACTTTCATCAAGTATAACAATCAAAGGCACAAATATTGCTTGTCCCAAGAGTTTATATTAGGGGTAAGTGGGCCTTCAAGGATATCTTGCTGGATGTTTACAAGCATCCAAGCAAACTGGATGTTATACTTGATGAAAGTATAACATCCAACTCTTGGGACAAGCAATATGTTGGTATAAGAATAAACACAGCAGCAAGTATAACAAACTGGAATATAGAAGCAAGTTATTAAACACAGCAGCAAGTTGTTGACATTGATTTTTTGAAAGCAAACACAAAGCTAGGTTGCCTTTGTTCATATAACATCATGAAAATAAGCACCAACTGAATATAGAAGCAAGTGGGAACATACAACTGACTGAGGTATCAAAAAAATACATTGTCAACAGGAATCACAGGAATACACTTCGGTACAAAATGTGATTTACAGCACTTCTAACTTGGCAACATACAACTGAGGTATCAAAAATACATTGTCAACATAAATGATATCTGCAACTCTTTGTAAGGAACAGGTGTCCGGAGCATTTCAGGCCCTTTCGTAACATCCTCCCAAAATAGATTAGCGATGGCGACTGTCAGTTCTCCCACTCTTCCTGCCATAAGCCAAAAACCAGACGTTATCAGGCTCGAGTATATCTTATTGAACTTCACCAAACAAGTCCTAATTGACATGAAGTCATGAACAATGCAATTAACATTATTGATCACAAACTATACATATAGAAACATAGTTCTCGCTATTTATATCCTCTAGTTTCGTAAGCTGTGATCGATATAATTCTTTTAGTCATGTTCAAAAACTTGGAAGGAAAATTGAGGATGTATAAAGAAATCAGTCATGGTTTAGAAAGAATATGAGAAAAGTTTGGATAGCGAAAATAAAATAATTGATGCAACTTGTTTCTGCCATTGTTAAATGCGTAATTGTCAATTGATTCTTCGCGAATGTATGCCCATGACATCCTTGTATATTTTATCGGATGAACTACTCCAAAATATTTGATGACACTCTATCGTTATTTGTGAATAATGGAAGTAAGGCGAAGGTATAATTGTATGACCTAGGCTAATGGTAAAAACCTTTACGTGATTGTTGGTTCCATGAAATTTAATTCATAAAGATCACAACTTTATTTTTACCTGTGTTCTTCCATGAAAGCTCTTACAAATCCTTGATTGTTGGTTTAATTGAAAGCTTGCCCAAATCTGAAAGATAAACAAATAAAAAGTTAATAAAAATCAAATCATTTAACATACAAAAACATAAATGATAAATACCTATGTCCAACTTCTCAAGAGCATCCAAATCTTCTTCAAAGCAAATTTTGCTCGAACCCGGCGTAGCCAACAAGTTTCGAACCCAATCGGAAGTGCATACATCAAGGATGCCATTGAAGCTGTTCTTTTTGATGATCTGTTACTCACTTACTCTCTACTGTTTCAGTGTTTCTATTTGTTTCCTACCTCTGCTAGTTATTTATTTTCTTTTGTTGTAAACCAGGCTCACCAATGATTTATTTTCTTTGACAGGAAAACCCCAATTATGCTAATGGTCACTTCTTTTTGGCTGTATATAGGAAAAACCCCTTTAACTTTGGGTGATTATCATATAACTGTTATAACAGCTGATAAGTTTCAAAATATCTAGAAATCCCCCTTAAGCTAGGGGCCATTGAAGCTGTAATTGTTTAGCGACAGAATTCGAAGGTCATACGACATTGCGCGCATAATCTTTACTTGAACCGTATGGACTTAGCCTCGATTCATCTTTATACAGTACCCCCAAGAAAAAAATGTTTATGCATCTGTTGGAATTTGGATCTCCACAAAAATTTCAGAACAAAAAAAAGCATGCGTTCAACAAAGCATCCGTCGAGTAAAAAAATCATGAGTCATGACCAAACCAAATTGAACTAACAAAGTTTTCAACCCGACAATTTGGTCCTGAGCAAATTGAACTAACAAAGCTATAAATTTGATTTCTCCAGAGCAATGAAAAAAAGATACATGATAAATTAACAAAGCTATAATACTTTGAAATCTAGATATAAATAGAAGCTATAATACCTCGGCGACGGCGACGGGTGCGGATGCCCCCCCTGACCGGAGATAGATCCTGAGCCGGAGATGGATCCTGAGCCGGAGATGGGTCCATAAAGAGTTGAAGACTAAGGAGGTGGAGCGCTGGCGGGTGGCGGCTGTCGGCTGAGAAGAGTGAGAAAGAGTGAGAGAGGCGGACGAGGGCGAGAGGCGGCTGTCGGCTGAGAAGAGTGAGAAAGAGTGAGAGAGGAGGCCGAGGGCGAGAGAGAGAATTGGGAACGAGGGCGGCGGCTGGGTCTGGGAGAGGAAATGAGGTTAGGGTTAGAAACTTAGGAGTTTTGATTTTGGGTGTTTGGGGACGGGTCGGGTTACGGGTATACGGGGGTTTGAGAATTGGGGAAACGGGTCGGTTCGGTCTAATCGGTTTGAGAAGTTTTTAAGCCGACCCGAACCGCCCAATTCATAAAACCCTTTTTTCGGGTCGGTTCGGGTCGGTTCGGTCGGTTTTTTCGGTTTGAACCGAACCGTGCTCACCCCTAATATAAACCCATGTGGATGGATGGAATAGTAGACTCTTTGATTTTCTCACTCTCAACTTGGTATCAAAGCCAACCCTAACTCTAATTCCTAAACCCTAGCCGTCAGAAAGAAAAAAAAAACTAAACCCTAACCTTACCTCCTGTCGGGTCCCGTGACGGATCGGACTACTCGTCATCATCTTCTTCACGAGCCACCGCTGCTTCGCTTGTCCTCATTCTCTTTGCGAGCCGCC